TATAATGTACTGTAGTTCCAAACATGTTGTCTTGAATGGTGGAAGGTTCTTTTTTAAGGCTATATAGTACCCCATTATGTTTATATATCACATTTTCTTTATTCATTCATTGATGGATACTTAGATTACTTTCATACTTTGATTATTGTGAATAATGTTGAAAAAAAGAGTGCAGACCTCACTTAAATGCCAATTTTAATTGCTTTGGATATATACCCAGAAGTAAGATTCCTGGATTATATGGTAATTCTATTTTTGGATTTTTGAGGAAACGCCATACTGTTTTTCAAAGTGGCTGTGTTAATTTACACTCCACAGTGGTATCTCTCCCTCCCTCCCTCCCTCCCCTCCTTCTCTCCTTCTGTCCTTCCCTCCTTCCTTCCTTTTTTCCATTAAAATAATATATGCTTTGTTTAATGAAAATCTACATGGTACAGTGGCTATATGCTCTTTGTTTATTCTTAAAATTAGCATTTTGCTGAATAAAGTACCTAGAAATGCAGCTAACCATGGAAGTGAAAATCTCTACAAGGAGAACTACAAAACACTGTTCAAAGAAATCAGAGATAACACAAACAAATGGAAAAACATTCCATGCTCATTGATAAGAAGAATCAATATCATTAAAATAGCCATACTGCACAAAGCATTTTATAGATTCAGTACTATTTCTGTCAAACTCCCAATGACATTCTTTACAGAACTAGGAAAAAACTATTTTAAAATTCATATGGAACCAAAAAAGAGCCCGAATAGCAAAGGCAATTTTAAGCAATAGAACGAAGCTGGAGGCATCATACTACCCAACTTCAAACTATGCTACAGGGCTACCGTAACCAAAATAGCATGGTACTGGTACAAGAACAGACACATAGACCATTGGAACAGGATAGAGAACCCGAAATAAGCCTGCACACCTCCAACCATCTGATCTTCTACAAAGCTGACAAATCAAGCAGTGGGGAAAGAACTCCTTATTTAATAAATGGTGCTGGGATAGCTGGCTAGCCATATGCAGAAGATGAAATTGGACCCTTTCCTTACACCACATACAAAAGTTAACTCAAGATGGATTAAAGACTTAAATGTAAAACCTAAAATTATAAAATCCCTTGAAAAACTTAGGCAATGCCATTCTGGACATGGGAATGGGCAAAGATTTTATGATAAAGACACCAAAAGCAATTGTGACAAAAGTAAAAATTGGAAAATGGGATCTAATCAAACTAAACAGTTTCTGCACAGCAAAAGAAACTATCAAGAGAGCAAACAGACAACCTGTAGAATGGGAGAAAATGTTTGTAAGCTATGCATCTGACAAAGGTCTAATATTCAGCTTCTATAAGTAATTTAAACAAATTTTCAAGAAAAAGCAAACAACCTCATTAAAAAGTGGACAAAGGAAATGAACAGATACTTTTCAAAAGAAGACATACATGTGACAAAAAGCATATGAAGAAAAGCTCAGCATCACTGGTCATTAGAGAAATGTGAATCACAACCATAAGAGACCATCTCACACCATTCAGAATAGTTATAACTAAAACGTCAAAGCAAAAACAGGTGTTGAGGAGGCTGTGGAGAAAAAGGAATGTTTATACATTGTTTGTAGAAGTGTAAATTAGTTCAACCATTATAGAAAACTGTGGCTATTTTACGAAGACCTAAAAACAGAACTATCATTCAACACAGCAATCCTGTTACTGGGTATATACCCAAAGGAATATAAATTGTTCTATCATAAAGACACATCCACACATATGTTCTTTGTAGCACTATTCACAATAGCAAAACATGGAATCAACCTAACTGCTCATCAATGGTAGACCATGGAATACTATGCAGCCATGAAAAGAAATGAGATTATATAGATAGAGCTGGAGACCATTATTCTTAGCAAACTAGTGCAGGAACAGAAAAGCAAATACTGCATAGTCTCACTTATAAGTGGGAGTTAAATAATAAGAACACATAGACACAGAAAGGGAAACAACAGATACTGGGGCTATAGAAGGGTTGAGGGTAGGAGGAGGGAGAGGATTAGAAAAAATAACTAATGGTACAAGTCTTAATACCTGGATGACAAAATATTCTGTATAAGAAACTCCTGTGGCATGAGTTTACCAGTACATGTACCCCTGAATTTAAAATAAAATTTTAAAAACAAAAAATAAAATGAGTTGTTTGTTTGTTTGGTATTTGACCTTCTTAAAGAAATACATGATAGAGTTAAAAAATCAAATGGAATGTAGGGATTATTAAAACAAAAAATAGAAGCCCTTTGCCTTGTATTTTCTTACTACCTACTTCAGCTACACAGAGGCAATATGTTTTTGGTATTTACTTCTATTATCTAAATAATATGCCTATTACTATTTCTTCATTTATCAGTTTCAACAGGAGTTTTGAGTAATGAAAATGGAGAAGCTTGTGGGAGAGAAAGGTATGTAAACAAGAATGTGAAATGAAATTTAAGCTAATATATTTCGCAATGGAGGTGCCCACCGGGTTCTTTGAGAACATAAAGAACATAGGCATGTTAGGTCTTCCAAATTGCTTTCAAGAATAACTTTATAATTTATGCTTTTGTTAGCAGTGAACAAGAATTCTCATCTTTCTATATTCTTATTAACACTCCACAGAATTCAGCCTTCAAATTCATGCTTTTATGATGATGTAAAGTAGTATCTCATTGGTTTTTTATTTTGTGTCTTCCTGATTACTAGTGATTTTACGAGATTTAGACAGCATGGACTTCTCCTTCTGAACACTTCCTTTTCACAGTTCTTTGCTTATTTTTCTACTGGTTTCCTCTGAATATATAAATACATGTTAACCAGTATTAATTCCTCATTGGTTTTAGGTATTCTCTCAGTTACCTATGGAATTAGCTATGATATCCTCAACTGAAAAGTTTTCATTTTTTTAGCAAAATCAATTTTATGTCTTATGATTTATGCTTTTTAGGTCATGTTTCAGAAAGCTTTTTTACATCTTTGTCTCAAAAATATTTGCCTAATTTTTTTTCTTAGTAACTGTGAAAAAGTACAGTTTATATTTAACTATTTAATCTCTCAGTAATTCAGATTTCTATATGGTGTGATAAGGTGCTCGCTTTACTTTTTGCCCAATTCTTAGATCAGTTTTCCTGTATACATTATGCCAACACCAGTATTTTGTTTTATTTTGTGATGTTATTATATATAAAGATCTCATGTATATATGAGCTGTCACATATATATGGGTTTATTTCTGAACTCTGTGTGCCTGCAGCTGTACCAAGCTTTGTAGTACACGTTAATATTTTATAAAGTAGGTTTTCTTTCTTTGCCCTTCATTTTTGAATTTTACTTTGATATTAATAGACCTTTTATAGCATCTGCTTTTAAAAATGGGTTTGTAGATTTTCTTTTAAAAAATCTAGAATTTATAGACTGATATGGAAAAAGTTGAAATTTCCCTATGAATATGGGCAAGGTAAAATAAGTCAATATAAAATTGTGAAATAATTTAGATTTATACTACAGAAATCCACTTCTTTTGGTGGCATATATTAGGCAGAAAATAATTATGGAAGAAAGATTAACACAAGGAAAACCAAGGATGGGCCTGCTAATGTACACAATTTTATTGTTAAGAGAAATGTGGACAACAGAAGCAATAGAGAAAGAATATACAGAATGTGACAAACAGGAGTTCAAACTACCTTAATATTTATGGCTTTGAGTTACCTTAATACTTATAATTCACTAAACAGTGCTTTCAAATTATGCTCTGTGGAATACCTAATGCTTTGTGAAACACCAAAAGTACTCAGGGAAAGGAGTAATGGTGACACTGAGTATTTGGATGTGTGATTCAGCCAGAATACATTATTATTAATTGGCCGTGCACTAAGGTTTTATTGCAAGAAAGGACGGATTTTAGCTCAACAACATGACTGTTCAACAAAGATGGCAAGTGATGCAGGTCATCCTTTTCAATGCCTGTGGCAGACATTGCTAACTGAACATAGAACTTTTTGCTGCTGACTCAGATTTTGTCTCCACACAGCTCTCCGTTTAGTCATTACCGATCAACCAGAGTGTTGTTTGAGTCAAAACCCGTTTACTATCTATACTGGGGATATCTAATCTTTTGGCTTCTCTGGGCCACAGTGAAAGAAGAATAATTGTCTTGGGCCACGCATAAAATACGCTAACACTAATGATAGATGAATGGCTAAAAATAAAATGCAAAAAATCTCATAGTGTTTTAAGAAAGTTTATAAATTTGTGTTGGGCTGCATTCAAAGTCGTCCTGGCCATCAGTTGGACAAGCCTGATCTGTATAGTACTAAGTTCTGTAACTTTATTGGACCTTCAGTACACTTAAGATATGTTAGCCCAAGAAAGTGTGAGCTAAATCTGTCAGATTAAAGAAGGAAGAAACTAGAAAAAGAGAGTAGTTGAATTGGAAATGGATCTGGGAAATACAAACTTAAATAAGCATTTCAGTAATAACCTTTACATTGTGATTATGAGGAGTAAATTCTTACTAACGATTTGTTAGTTGTGGAAAAGCCTTCAAATGTGTGTTAGGCTCAAAAAAAGCCTTCAACTATGTGTTGAAGAGCAATTGAAATCATTGATGTTTTCAGTTAAGAAATTGGAGACACAAATAATTCTTTCTTTATATTAATATTTAATCACTGAAAAGTTTAAACTTCCCAAATCGATGAAAGAGTGGGAAATAAAATCTCCATCTCTTGGAAGTGCATCTTATGCTGTCTCCATGGCCTTTGCTTTGCACCAAACAATGCCTTGAAAATTCTCTAAATTTAAATGTAGAAAAAGCATTTTATGCATATTTGAATATTCACAAAATAATGCATGTTAACATTAACATTTTCCTTTTTAAGGATGAATATGTTTTATGTTCTGTGAAGTCACTGCACTAATTGTGATGTAAATTTAAATTTAATTTTCTAAGCAGTGAAAATTATTTGTCTCTATTAACAGGTCTACTCTAATGTGATGCTGGGATTGAATTTTTCTAAGACTCCATTTCAAGGTTGATTCAAAAGTCTTGTGGAAGATCTGGAAGAAATAGGTAAGTGTCCTTTTGGTAACAATTCTCTTTTGCTCATTGTGCTTATTTTAATTTTTCTAATGCTGCTTTTATTCTTTAATTTTTTAAATTAAGTATCTTTGCCCAGATGTTAAGAAGTTTTCAGCATACTATGGAGACATGTTAAGTAGGGCAGTAGAAATATTTATCACTGCTTTTGGGGTTCCCATTTCACTACTTGCTGCTCTCTTTCTATTAAACGTGGTATCACTTTTTAAAAGTAGTATACACTCATAGGGAAAAAGAATTTGGTCTGAAATTTTAAAAGTAAATTATTAGGTAAGAAAAGTACTTGGAGTGTCTTATTACAATTGCGCTTAAAGCTTTTATCATGCTGGTATTTTCAGTATTATTTTTTTTAAAAGTTCAATTGATATTGAAGTTTTGTGGTTATCTAGAATTATTGAGAAAATAATGACAGAAATATACCAGTAATGATTATTTTCTTGAAAATTTGATTTTTCTAATATAATTTTTGAGATCCAATCAGCTGTTTTGGAAGATTTGTTTTCTTTTTTAATGTTGTGTAGCTTTAAAGCTCTTGATAGTTTTCCTTGATATTTACAATGTTAACATATAAAGCTTCTCGATATATAACACATCTAAAATGGGCTTTTCAGTTTCACTGTTGTACTATAATATCAATCAAACAGTTTGTCATGAGTATCCAAATTTATAATAACATAATTATAATTTTAAAAGAAACCTAAAAGAAATTTTAGGCAGAGTTTGTATTTTAAAGCTTCCTAGTAGTTTATATGATTTCTTTCCCCAATCTTTATCTCAGAAGAGAAGGAAACCAAAATGCTCTGGTTCTTCAGAATTCTTCATTAATAGTTTCACTCTGCGCATAGGACAGGCCTCAGGATCTTCACTTTCTACCCAAATTTCTCCACCAATTTCTACAACTTTCTCAAGATATACTCCATAATCTCTCTGAGAGATATTTGTCAATGTTCTTTATACAGTTAAGTACTTTCGAGATAGTTTACCTTCTGTTTTTCCTGTGGATTTTTTTTGGTTCATTTCTTACCAGTTTTATCATTTTACCAGATACACATGAAAATGATCCCACATTTATATAGTATTTAAGATTTTCAAAGCACTTTGACAGTCTTTTATTTCATTTTACTCTTAATTTATGATGTAAGTAAGGTTGACGTTAATATTCTTTGGTAAGTAGAGAAACAAAGACAGAATTAAAATGATTTGGAAAAAGTTATATAGCTTGTTGTCATTTTACAGTTAATAATAAACAATCAGGTGTTATCAGAACACGTCTGCTAACACTCAATCTTTTCTCTAGTTAGTGGAACATTATTTGTATGTTTGCCATAGATAATGGTTAAACCAATATACTTCATCTTTATACAACCTTTTGATAAATAAGTTATTATTTTTGAGTAACAGCATGTTTATTTGTATAATAGCAGAGGGAGTTTAGATTTATAATAAGCAGGAATTATCTGACAATAAACCAGGAAAGAATGAATCATGGAATCATAAGATAAACTCTTTATAGAAAATAGAGAATCTTCTTCCTAGAAGAGAATATAATTGCACTTGAAGTTAGTCCTCAAACTGATTTTGGAATGTGCTACTTAGACTTTTTGTAGTTACGCGTTTATAATGGCGGTTTTAAAATATTTTAAAATAAACATTAACCACATGTTGGTGTAAATAATGAATATACATAATGCCAAAGTTTCAGATTACTGGGAAAGTGCATTCTGAAAAAGCATTTTTACTCATAAATGTATACAATTTTGAACCCTTGAGCTGGAAGTATGATCGTAAGAGAAGAAGAAAATGTTAGAGAAGCAAAGATTTTGGAGTCAGATTCATAGGAGTTTGCATCCTTGCTGCTATTTTTTTGGCTTTTTAAATCAACCTCTGTTAAGTTTTGCTTTTCAGCTCTCAAAGAGTAAAAGAGGGGACAAATAGATCTGTTTATTTTATTATTGTAAAAATTTAGCACTTGGGACATAGCTATTTTCAAGAAATACTGGATTTTTGTCTTCTCTGTTCCCTTCCCCCTAGATAATCGCTAAATGGAACTTGGTTCAAACTTTCTTTTTTCAAATATTTATTTTTAGTTTAATCTCCATTTCACCTCTCAGAGTTGTTAAATAACCTGCCCTACATAATACTTATCAGATGGGAACTAAAATGTTGTTTCATACAACTAATAACAGAATATTTGTGTACATGGATAAATGTGTAGTTGGTCATATGGGTGTGTGTGTTTTACTTTAAGATATTCACAGTTATTTTTAGAGTTTCTACTGCAAGACTATTAAAGCGAAATTAAATACCAGTTTTAGTTAATTCAGTGGAGTAGAAATAATTTTCATTCACATATTTATAGAAAATTGCTATAGATTCTATAAATATTTATTAGAGGTTAGGTATCATATATGAAAAATATTTTCTCTATTTTTTGAATAATTAAAAAATGTTAATGGACTATGTGGGAAGCTGGTTTGGTGGACAGGGGGTTGGTTGTCCAATTCAGATACATAGCATACTGATATTCATTGTCAACTGATATTCATTGTCAAAAGGAAACAGAACGAGCAAGACTGCAAATAGAGAGGCTGTAGAGTGGAGATGTTGAGAATCCAAAGTTGGAAATCAGATTGCCTTGGTTTGAATGATGGTTCCAAAACAAACCTACTTTATGTGAAACCTTGAACAAGTCATCAAGGCTTTTTTACACTTAATTTGTCAATCTAGAAAATAGAGATAACAGTACCTACTTAATAGAGTTTATTTGAAGATTGTGTGAATAATATAAAGGGCATAATGAACATTTAAAAAGTATTATTTTGATTTCTATTATATTCATTTCAATTGTTGACTGTATTATTCAGGCCATGTGGCAAATACCCTATATAGAATAATCTAACTTATATCCAGTCATGGATCTTACAAGAAATGCTAAATATGAGTTAATTCTTTGTCTTGGTTATTTTACATTGTTATAACAAAGTACCATAGACTGAGTGGATTATAAACAACAAAAGTCTGTTTCTCACGGTAATGGGTTCTGGGAGATTCAGTTCAGGTGTCAGCCAGCAAAGTTGGGTTCTGTGGAGGGTCTTGTTTCAGGTTGTAGACTGCCATCTTCTTTCTTGTGTCCTCACACGTCAGAAAGAGATTGAGAGAACTTTCTGGGGTTCCTTATATAAAAAGGGCACTAATCACATTCATGAGGGCTGCATCTTCATGGCCTAATTACCTACCACAGGTTCCACCTCCTAGTACCATCACATTGTGGTATAGGATTTTAACATAGGAATTTGGGGACAACACAAGCATTCAGTGAATTACATTATGTACTTGTGCTCTCTGGGTATGGTTAGGATGTGTATTAGTTTTCTGTTACTATATGATAAATTTTCATATATTTATAAACTTAAAACAACATAAATGTATCAACTCACAATTTCTGTGGGTCAAGAGTCCAGGCCCTGACAGTTTAGCTCAGGGTCTTAAAAGGCTGCAATCAAGATGTCAGCAAGGTTGCATTTTCATTTAGAGCTCAGGGTCCTCTTCCAAGCTCATTGGTTTTTGGCTGAATTCAGTTCACTGCAGTTTTAGGACTGAGATCCTCAGCCTCTAAAGTCCACCTTCCTCCCATGTGACACTCTCCATGCACAGTTTACAACATAGCAGGTTTCTTCTTTAAAACCAGCAGGCGAGTCTATACTGCATGCTACCAAAATGGAGATGGAGCCTCTGTGTGTGTGTGTGTGTGTGTGTGCGTGTGTGTGTAGTAATACACATGCATACACATGATATACACACACATATGTATAATATGTGTATGTGTATTAAAGTAATCATCAGAGTGATGACCCATAACTTTTGCCATATTCTATTGGCTGGAAACTAGTCACAGGTCCTGCCCACACTCAAGGGGAAGGAATTTTACAGGGCATGAATATGGGGGAAACCCTGGAGACTGTCTGCCAAAGCATGTTAAACTTAAAATTCATGAAATATATTACCTTAAGGTTTTATAATCATGCTATAGTAAATAAAAAAGAACATTGTTAAAATGTGTAAAAAAATTTTTTTCATAGCATTTTCTTACAATATAACACCCAGCAGATCATTCCTCCTTGCCTAAAATTCATCCATTGTTTCAAGCTGGCTAAAACCACCAGACTAATTACAGCCTAGTCCTAGTGTGGTATTTAATACACTCCAGAATGTGGCAAAACACAGGTATCTTAACTTTTCTCTGTACCTTTCCTCTGATATGTATACCTTTAACTACATGTTTTACACTTTCTTTCCTGCATCTTTGTCAGTGTACACCTTTTTCTTTCCCGTTCTCTATCTTTTTAAAGTACATTTACATTTCTACCATTTTCCACTATACTTTTCTTATTTCTTACCTCCTTTTTAGCTAGCCTAGGACTTTTTCTGCATAGAATCATAGGCAATCTGATGTTATAGATATGTGATCATTAATCTCATTCCCCTGCTACCCACAGAGATTACAGAATGTTGCTCATTTGTGTGTTTCTTACAATGCTGCATATAATAGTATCTTTAGAAATATTCATTGAATATGTAAAACACCTTCTTGATTTAGAACAGTGGTCTAACAGCCAGTATTCAGTTTGACACTCGTATTTCAGAAGATGTTCTTTATAAGTTATTCACTCTTATATTGGCTCAGTAATTTGAAATATACCTCAAATAACCCTTAAGTTACTTGAGAGAATCCATTACAACTTACACCTTTGAAACCAATTGCATATGGGAAGAACATGAATCACTATTCTTATGATAGTGAGTGAGTCCTTATGCGATCAGATGGCTTAATGGGGGGCTTTTCCCTTCTCTGGGCACTCGTTCTCTCTCCTGTCACCCTGTGAAGAGGTACCTTCTGCCATGATTGTAAGTTTCCTGAGGCCTCTCCAGCCATGTGGAACTGTGAGTCAATTAAACCTGTTTCCTTTATAAAT